TGATTGTAGCAAAATTTAGTGAATGGTTTAACAGACATAGGAAGGAGGCTGCATATGGTCAGGTGACAGAGAAATTAGTGCCTTATGTGGAGAATATATTGCACTCGAGATGTTTAGTTGCCAAGAAACTAGTTGTTGTGGAACTGAACAGTTTCGAGTTCATATACAAAGTTACTGGGAAAGATGGAAATGCTTATGTGGTACACTTGTTACAGAAAACTTGTGATTGCAAGCATTTTGACATAGACAAGTACCCCTGTGTACATGCGTTAGCTGCAGCTATGAAATGCAACGAACAAAATGATGGATCCAAGTATTTCCATTACCATGATCTGTGCTCTAGATATTATTGGACTGGCCAGTGGAAGTTGGCATACATGAGGACGATCTATCCAGTACCGCCTAGATATCAGTGGTTAATTCCAGCTGAAACATGTGGTTTTGTCTGCAAACCACCAGATTTTCCCAAGCGAAAGAAAGGAAGAAAGAGGGATAAGAGGTTCACATCCACGGGAGAACATCGTCGTGGTAACAAACGGGTGCCAGGACAAAATTTTGCAAGGACTTGGTTACATTGTAGTCAAGGTTCGGAGACAAACGCGGAGACGGACGGGACAAACACGGAGTCAAACCAGACTGTGTAATTTTCATTTTTGAATTTTGGTATTATTTGAACCACTTGGAACAACTACCCAGCTATTTGTAATTTGTAATTTTTTGGTATTACTGGCACTACTTGGAACAACTTCCCGGCTATTTGTAATTTGTATTCTTTTTTTTAATGGTATTACTGGAACTTGTACTTGGAACAACTACTTGGAACAACCATTTGTAATTTTGATTACATAATTTAAATATTTACTTGTTAGTTTTGATTTTTGGCTTTATGAATACAATGTACTAAATGTTTTAATGGTTTTAAAAGAAAAACTTTAATATACGGTATTACCTCTTTGTCTTATTTTTTAAAAAAAATATATAATTTTGGTATTATGGGAACTACTTGGAACAACTACTTGGAACAACCATTTATAATTTTGATTACATAATTTAAATATTTGCTTGTTAGTTTTGATTTTTGGCTTTATGAATACAATGTACTAAATGTTTTAATGGTTTTAAAAAAAAAAATTTAATATACTGTATTACCTCTTTGTCTTATTTTTTTTTTAAATATACAATTTTGGTATTACTGGAACTACTTGGAACAACTATTTGTAAAGTTGTCTATATATTTAATCGGGGTTTAGATATGTTATTTCTAGAGTATATGTAATTAAATATCTATATAAATATCTATATAAATGTATAATATGTACTAAAAATAATGTGTATTCCGAAATTTATAAATTATGAAATCCATTTGGGCACACTTATCCCATATAATATCATAGGTTTTATGGATACCTCTTCTACTTCAGGATCTACTTCGTTCCTCTTGTACTTCTGTCCTCTAAAAACCTTTTCTCTCTCAACTAAAATATCTCCTCCCCTCCCAAACTCTTGTTATGGATCCCGAGAGTTACAGCGAGTTCAAAAGAAACAAAAAATATATCGACATGTTGTATTTCATAGCGGATGGTGACTATAGAATTCCGACGTATCGTTGTCCATGTGGAGGAGAGATCGTTGTCACAGATGGGTCTTCTCAAACGAGATACTTTCAGTGCGAGAACTTCAAGGTCTGTCTGTTTTGCGATTTTGGTTTAACTTATTCATTTTCTGGGTTTAGGTTTGCCAAATCTGAGTTTCGATTTTACTTTTTTATTATGTGTAGAATGATCGCTTACATGTTCGCAAAGTATGGGCGGATGTTGTTGGAGAAGAGATTGATAGGATCAAGAAGGATGTTGCTGCTAATGGAGAAAAGACTCGAAGAATGGCCCTCCTTGAATTTCAGGTCAAACAGATGCAGATGGAGCTTAAAAAAAAATGCTGAAGAAATTGCTAAACTCAAGGAGACTTTAAGAAATGTTTAGATTTTAAGAAAATTTTAATTCCTTCAAAAGCATTGCTGTAAAATAATGATGGATCTTATGTTATTTTATTTTAAATGGAGCCGATTAGTACTTCCAGTTTTTCCAGTTGTGCCAACAAACAAATTTGTTCTACAAACGAATTTAGCTGATTAGTACGAATTTAGCCGATTAGTAATACCAGTTTTACCAGTTGTGCCAACAATACGAATTTAGCCGATTAGTACTTCCAGTTTTACCAGTTTTGCCAACACCCATATTTACCCGATTTGTACGAATTTAGCCGATTAGTTATACCAGTTTTACCAGTTGTGCCAACACACGTATTGACCCGATTAGTACGAATTTAGCCGATTAGTAATACCAGTTTTACCAGTTGTGCCAACAAACATATTGACCTGATTAGTACGAATTTAGCCGATTAGTAATACCAGTGTTACCAGTTGTGCCAACAAACATATTGACCTGATTAGTACGAATTTAGCCGATTAGTAATACCAGTTTTACCAGTTGTACCAACACACATATTTAGCCGATTAGTAATATGAATTTAGCTGATTAGTACTTCCAGTTTTACCAGTTGTGCCAACACCCAAATTTGTCCTCCAACGAATTTACCCGATTAGTACTTCTAGTTTTACCAGTTGTGATAACAAATTTGTTCTAAACCGTACAGTTCTGGGTTTTAAAACCAAAATATTACAAGCATAAGTTTTAAAACAAGGTCCAACCAAAATAGAGTAGCAAAATAGTACAAGCAAAAGTCTTAAACAAGGTCATAAACCAGCCGCTAAACTCTAAGTCTTTTGTTTCTTTCCCTTGGGAGCCCCCTTCTTCTTTTCATCCTTCGTTGACCTTTTCTTCCCTTTCTTATCTTCTGTAAAAGGGGTTTGTTTGTATTGAGATTTTTTACTTGTTCGTCCACTAGTCCTCCTGGTTACATGGGTTGGCCCTTCTCCGCCGACTTCCTCGTTCTCTTCTTTATCCTTCTCCACGTTCTCTTCCACATTATCTCCTTCTGTTTGCTTCTTCCCAGAACAACCAGCGCCATCATTTGCCTCTTCACCACCGCCATGGTAATCTGCATCCAAGAAGTTAAGACGATTCTCTTCATCTTCTTGATTTCTGTTCTTCTCTTCACCCACATACAGCTCCATCTTTTTGATTATTTTGTCATGATCAGCTAACTTATTTCTCATTTCCTTAAACCATCTTCCACTTTTTTCGTCAAGCCCTCTAAACATGCCATCAGTTTCTCTACATCAATTGTAGTTGTAGGAGTCGATGCGGTTTTAATAGCTGATGAGGTTTTACGAGCTGGTTTTTAGGATCCGATGCTTTTTTCCCTTTGTTCTTTCGGCTATTGACATCTTTTTTGAACATTTCCTGAAAGAATATCTCACTTTTCTCCTCCAGCAAAATTGATTTCCAACCATCAACAATATAATCCGCTACATCTTGGTCTATATCCTCATCGTCCATGATGAGAGCCAGCAGTTGCTTCTCATCATGCGATGGAGCCAACACACTATGAATATCCTTTTAAAACCGAAAAAAACCATTCAGGTTGATCCTAGCAATGGAGCATATACTCAATTATTTGCTAAGCTTTGAGTTCTAACCTTTGTTGCACCAAGTTGAGAATTTATTTCCGAAAGTGCAAACCCTTTCAAATCTCCTTTCTTGAACCTGCTCTTGCACATCCTTGGACAGCTATCCTCGACTTCTACAACAGCTTCTCTAAAATGTCTATCAAGGGCTGGAATTGCCTCATAAGCTAGTAGCTACGCATTACACAACATGAATTAGTAAACAAAATTAAAAGGAACATACATACGAATAATCAGACAACACATTATGACAGTTATTCTTATTTACCTCCATAGGAATGATGAAACTAGGAAACACTTTGTTCGCACCTTCAGGCACAATCACATTTAAATTCTTCACTATATTGCGAATGTCCTTCATATTCTGATCAAATGCAAATCTTCCCCAAGGAAATGTTTCACACAAATCTAAATCACTAGCCGCTCTCAAAAAGAAATGCTCTACACCTGCAGCAGTATTACCTGTCTTCGTCTTCCCAACAATTATGTTGGCTAAGAAGTAAAGGACAGCAATATTCATCCTACCTCTCACTTTACTGGATTTCATTGACTCCATCTTCTCATCTACATCCTTCAGAGTTACTTTCTTCTTCCCTTCACCAAAATACTTTGCAACAAACTTACTACTGTCACCACCTAAACTTTCATAGTTCTTAGGGTAGCTTCGACAGTTCAATCCAGAAATAAGACCCAACTCTCTCAAAGAATACCGGATGGGCACCCCATTTACTACAAACCAGCATTCCTTCATTTTGCTTGATGGCACCATACACAGCATAAGCATCCACATCCCCTGCGATTTATGATTTTCTTCCAAGTACATGTGGAAGAAGTGCTTGAACTGAGGGTGCGTTTTGAACCATTTCAACTCTCTATCATCTAGCACCTTTTCTAACGTTTTCACCACCTTCTCAATATAGCATCTTCCTGACAGCTTGATGTTGATATTAAACATACCGGGTTCAAAGCACAACTTCTCTGGTGGTATAGCTTCGCTTTGATAGTCTACATCTTCTTCCGCCTCTTGTTCATCATCGTCTTCTGCCTCCTATCGAGGAACACCTCTTCCCGTCCGAGGGACATCATCGTCTTCTGCCTCCTCATGTTCCTTACCTTCCTCCTCCTCCTCTTCTTCCTCATTTTCCTCCTCCTCACGTTCCTCACCTTCCTCCTCCTCTTGTTCCTTTTCTTTCTCCTCCTCTTGGTCCTTTTCTATCTCCTCCTCGTGGTCTGATTCTTCCTTGTCCTCTTGTTCCTTTTCTTCCTCCTCCTCTTGCTCTTTCGGATTCTCCTCCTCTTGGTCTTTTACTTCATCCTTCTCTTGGTTCTTTTCTTCCTCCTCATCTTGGTCCTTCGGAATCTCTTTTTCCTCGGCGTTCACCTACATTAGTTGTACCAATTTTGTTTAGTTGCTCCAGTTTTACTTAGTTACTCCAGTTTTACTTAGTTTGTCTAGTATTACTTAATGAACACAATAATCATATGGACGAATCATACCTCCACATTTGTATCGTCATCATCGTTGCCGGCTTTCACTTTCTCTTGCCGACTCCTCACCAGTTTGCGTAACGCGCTTAGGGTCGGTGGACCTCCTTCACCCAAACATGTAGGTTTTGCGGAGGTTGGAGGATTTGCAGAGGTTGTCTTCGTCCGAGCCATCCGATCGAGTGATGTAGGAGATGATTCGCCGCTAATCGAGTTCTGAAGGCTGACAATTGGGGATTTTCGAAATGCCTGATTCCGATTTGGACCGATTTAGGGTTCTTCCTCTCTTCTCCCCTCTTCTCTCGTTTTTTTTTTCTTTCTTCGTTTTCAAAAAGAGAAGCCGCAAAAAAAAAACAATTACGAATTACTCAGATCCGACCCAAACTCTTCGAAAAGCCCAGTATCCGATCCATTTACTGGTTGGATCTGTAATTACGAAAACTCTATTTGGTTTTTTAGACATTACATTAAATTTTCGAATTAAAAAAGTTAAAAAATAAATTAATATTACAGGAAAGAGTATTATAGAATAAAATTCAAGAGTGAGGAGTATTCTGGGCATTTGTCCAACTAAAATATGGGCTTGTATGAGTTTTTTTTTTTAAAAGAGACTGAGCCCAATTTCAAAACAACATCATTTTGGAACAGAATTTGGACACTACAATTTCTCTTTCATGTATCCGCACCATTTAATTGTTGCAAAAATCAGTTATTAATAAGATACATCCCAACTATTAAATTACGTTTTCCACAAACGTGGACACGTATAAGAGCCATAAAAGCGACCATAAAGATGATTTTGCAAAGCAACAAACTTTTGTGTGGTGCAGAAATGAAGAGCCTTAACTTTGCAAAATCAGCACGTTTTGGTTTTTTTAGTAAATGGCCTTACTTCATAGAGTAATAGACTCATAATCCATTTTAGGATATATATATGTATATATATATATTGTGTGTGTGTGTTATTTTGTTGGTCTAATGATCCAAAGATTTTAGGGAGGAGTTCTTGTTTCTCTAACATATTTGGAGATATATCATTTTTGAATGTAAAGTTTTGTATGACAAACACAAGCATAGATGATTACATATTTTTTGTACAAAATAATAGAGAAATTTTGGATTTGTGTCAATTAGAATTTGAAATTCTTCAAAGACTTTAAAATTTTTGATTTGCCGGAAATTTTCAGGCATCAGACCTTAATTTTGCTCTTGAGCTAAGACTATTCCAAAGAAGAACTGAAAAGATAAGGATAGTAATATGATCAAGCCAAGAACTTTCAGGCCAAAAATAGTTCAGAAAAAAAAAACTCATATTAAGCTAAGAGTATGTTGTGGCGGAGGCAGCACAGAATGAGAGGGGTCAATTGATCCAAGTGAAATATTTTATAAAAAAAAATTGTTGTTGAGTTTTTTTAATTGATCTATCATCTAAGCCAAAACAAGAATTTGACACCCCTAAAAGTTAAAATTTAAGTCCATGAAACTTATGATTGACCCATCATCCAAGCCCAAAACAAAATAAAGCCCATGAATCTTATGATTGTGACCTACTGACCCACTGAGAGTATGCACATGGCGTATAAACCCCTAAAACCGCCTTAGAACCCCGTGGAACTAGATTCTAAAAGTGTGTTTAAGTCCAATACATTTAATAGTGATAAGTTATCACCCACACAAGGGTGTTTAAGTCCAGTCGTTGAAAGCTACTCATCTAATTCAATTTTACACTTTTCATCCCCTGAAGTACATCAGAAAGAAGTTTTTCTGTCAATGGAATTGGCACAATCAATTTGTATTGTCCGCTTTTGGCCTCATCAATCACTGTAGACGGGCACTAAATAGCCCTTTTCATGTTTATCTTCTTTTGGAGATCATAGCCTATGAATTCAAAGCCAGCAGCCACAAAAGAATCAATGTGTTTCTTCTATCAGTTTATCTTTAAAACCTGCATTAGTGAGCCCATAGCAAAAAAATAAAAACACAGTAAAGTTACATGCATAAGCATTCCTTGATGATCATTGTTAGCAATACTTACATGAAAAGGGTTTGGTGGATTCTGAAATTGCTCTTGCAGAGGCCTCACATGTATCAGCACAAAGACACCAATTGCAGTAGAGTTTTCTACACTACCATTGGGCCATATCTCAAATGCCAACCAGAAGGGAATATTGGGCCCAGCACCTGTTCAAGACGTGAAGCCCACCAAAGCCCAAACCGCAAAGCTGTCTTTATCAACTCAAACATTCACCTGCAACAAAAACAGAGAAAAGCAGAGTGAAGATCGTACAAGAGGAGCGTTTATATGCAAGCTGGCAAACCAGTTCGAACAGTTGGATTCAATATCTATATTGTAATTCCGACACATGTCCAAGAGACATGAACCTTCTAGGTTTTCTTCAACATTGTATAAAGCTTACTTATCTTCTTTGTAATGGTTAAACGATAATGAAATGAAACTTTAGTTTCCAGTCTCTCTCTTTACAAAGTTTCTTTCTTGCCTTCATGGTATCAAAGCTATGGCTGATACAAACTCCAAATCTGACTCATATTCTCTCCCTTCTCTCAGTGTAAACAACTGTGTTACAATCACTTTAACTGCCCAAAACTACATCTTTTGGAAGTATCAGTTCGAGTCCTTCCTCTCTGGCTATGGCCTTCTCAGATTCATCACCGGTTATATTCTTGCTCCAGAACCGCTCCTCACCACCATTGGGACTGCTGGCGCTGCAGTAACAAGGCCAAATCCAGCTTACCAAAAGTGGTCCCACACTGACCAAGTTATGAAGTCCTGGCTCGTTGGTTCTTTCTCAAATGACATCTCAAATGTTTTCCTCGGGTGCAACACTTCAGCAGAAGTTTGGTTGACACCGGAAAATCACTTTAATCTGCTGTCTTCAAACCGTCTCTTTTAGCTTCAAAGAAAGCTTCAAACAATCCGGAAAGAAAAAAAGCCCATGACTGACTACCTCAGAGAGATAAGAGCTATCTGCGACCAGTTAAAATCCATCGGTAACCCTGTCCAAGAAAAGATGAAAATTTATACTGTTACCATGGACTTGGTCGTGAGTATAAACCAATCAAAACAAGTATTGAAAGCACCTTGGATATCAACATTGTATTAACGCTTGAAGCCATCGTTCCAAAGCTTACCGGCTATGCAGAACGTCTTTAGGCTTACACTGCATACACCATTGTATCCCCTCGTGTTGTGTTTAATGTCAGTCAAACTCAGGACACAAACACCAACAACTCTGGCTACTACAATAACAACTACCTATGCAGAAAAAACTTCAACAACCGAGGCTATGGCCGTGGCAAAGGGTTCTCAACCAGAGGTAGGGGTTTTCCGCAACATAACTCTTCCTCAAGTTTCTTAATAGAGGATTCCATTTCCAAATCTGTGGTAAATGGGACACAATGCTCTTAACTACTACAACCATTTCAACAATAGCTATCAGTCGGCCGATGTTCCATCTGCACTTGCTGCTTTGAGAATCACTGATGTTACTGACAACCACTGCCAAGAATGGTTCCCTGATACAAGTGCTTCAGCTAACATCACCAATAACCCTCAGGTCCTGCAACAGTCTCAACCATATCATGGATCTGACTCGGTAATGGTTGCAGATTGAAACTTTCTTCCCATTACTCACACCAGCTCTGCCAGTTTAGCTTCCACCTCAGGTAATCTACCGCTCAGAGATGTACTTGTTTGCCCTGACATTTCTAAATCTCTTTTGACCGTGTCTAAGCTTACTAGGGATTATCCTTGCTCATTTGAATTTGACTGCGATGATGTGCGAATCAATGATAAGGCAACAAAAAAGCTACTGGTAATGGGAAGCTCCCGTGATGGTCTATACAGCTTGGATGGTCCTCGGTTACAAGTCTTCTACTCCACATGACAACAGTCATAGAGTCAGAACATGTGGCACAGACGCCTTGGACACCCTCACCTGCAAATCCTCCAACTGCTAGCTAAGAATAACTCTATATCTATCAATAAAAGCTACTCAGGCTGTATGTGAAGTTTGTCAGCATGGCAAAAGCTCAAGACTTCCATTTTATGATTCTACTTTTACTGCAACTAGAATTCTTGAGAGGATCCATTGTGATTTGTGGGGTCCTCTCCAACTATCTCTTTACAAGGATTTCGATATTATGTGGTCTTTATTGATAATTATTCTCGGTCAAGTTAGTTTTACCCGTTGAGACTCAAATCAGACTTCTATTCCATCTTTCTTATGTTCCATAAGCTTGTTGAAAATCAGTTTGGCTGCAAAATCAGAACTTTTCAATGTGATGGAGGTGGAGAGTTTATAAGCAACAAATTTCTCCAACATCTATAAGATCATGGCATCCAACAACTTCTTTCATGCCCTCATACACCACAGCAGAACGGCTTGGCCGAGAGAAAGCATGCTTTTTAAAAGCAAAATGCCTCATAAGTTTTGCGTTGAGTCATTCTTT